GCCCTTACTCATAAAGCAGAAGGAAGTGTAATTTTTGGCCTCCTGAAGTTATATAAATGTAGCCTTTTCAGTTGTTATAGCAAATGATTTTAAGGCAGACTATGTAATTATTACAAATTCTATTTTAGGCAAATGCCATGATTCATTTTTATTAAAACTGGGAAAATAGTGTTTAAAATTAAGCCCAGTCTCTCAGAGGCAGAGCTGTCATTAGGGGTTGGCTGGTGGTATCAGTGGGCTGTTAGTTGACTGAGGGCATTGTGTTTTTCTGGGGAGAAGCTTGCTGTTGCATGCTTTTTGTTTCACCCAGCGTTGGTTCTCAGTACTTGTTGTGAATGTGGGGTAAGTAGTTTAGGATACTTAGACTGGTTACATTGGTGAAGACACATCTTTGTGTCTGCAGTGAATGGGGCCGGCTTTATTGGAGTTTTCATACCGTATACCGTCTGTTTCATTGCCATGTGTGAGCAGCTGGTGTGTGGGGGAAGCCCTTGAGATTCTCTTTGATCTCTGGTCTCTACCTGAAACCCTACTGCAAAAGCTGACCATCGCCTGTCATTGTTACCCATTTGTTTGCTGACTGCACAATAGTAGAGGGTTGTAGAGAAATGATCTTCAGCTTAGATTTCATACAATAAAATTTACTCTTTACAAAATTTGCTTTTCATACAATGGATTAGAAGCAGTGAAGAACTGCTTTTCCTTGTTTAAAAAGAAAATTCAGGCTATGTGTAGTGGCACACGACCGTAATCCCAGTATTGTGAGATGCTAAGGCAGGAGAAGCACATGTTCAAGCACAGCCTGGACTGTTCAATGAGACTGTGTCTCAAAACAATTTTTTTTTTTTATTTACAAAAACTTACTTCTCATTTTTGTTAGAAATATAGGAGATATGAAGTAGAGATTTCATTAGTTTCCACTGAGGTTTGCATTATGTGCACACTATCAATGACAATAGTTGTTTATTTCCAGTGTGACTATTGTCACCACAAGGAACAGAGCAGAGTGTATGGACTGTGGACATTCTGGAAATGGGCTTTTTTTTTTTTTTTTTTTTTTTTTTTTTTTCATTCATTTTGATTGTAGGTAAATCTTGTTAGAGCCTTTTTCAGTTGAGGGTGGAAATCTGCTTTAATTTGAACAAAGCTAATTCAGATATAAGATATGAGGCTGAACTGAAAGGTGGTGTGATTGATGAAGAGGAATTAAGAGTTGGGATTGAGATTATGGTTGACTGGATTCCTGTCCCTTGTTATCAGCTGCTGTCTGTCATTTTCTTGGGCAAGCCAAGCCTTTGAACTTTGCCTTGATGTACCTATGAAGTTGGGATATAAAGACCTGCCTTTCCAGCATATTTTAGATTGAAAGGCCAGATTGACAAACTTTGCAGCCCCTGTTCTGACCCCAGAATAACAGTGGTCATGATGTCAAAGTATATTTGGCACTCTTAAGTTTGTACTTTGCAAGGAAAAATGCCATTTCTGCTCTCTGCACTAAAGAGTACTGTGTGCTTATTAACACTCTGTTTGATCATAATGTCCAGAGTAAATATTGAATATTGACTGAATTACCATTTCAGTGGGAAAATTTTGCTAGATAAGTTTTCACAAAAAGAAGAAAACAACAACCCTTTAGTTGTAATGGTTTGAAAGACGAATCAACTACAAATTTGTCCTATATCTTATCAAAAAAGTCTTAAGAAATTTGCTAATTTAATTTAGGTTGGCCTGAAGTATGTAGTAGTTTATGTATTTAAATAATAAGGCTATTTCTTTAAAAAATACTTATTTTGAAAAAATAAGGTCTGTTACTGTTTCCTTAGGAATTTAAATGAATATAATCAAAGTTAAAGCACTTTTAAGACATGATTATATTCTGAATATGCTGGTTTTTAGTAAAGAGAAATGAAGCCTTAGCTCTTATGTGAAAATACCAGCAAAGGCCTCTTGGCATGAGAAACACTTTGGGGAGCTATGATCAGCATCTGTGTGAAGCGGTGACAGCTTTGCTTCTCTTTTGGTGGTCCATCAAGTTAGGCCTGCAGAATTGAGTTTCTTTCTATAATCTTCCTCCTCCTCTTAGCTTCTTGAGTTGTCCTCTGTGTAAAGGTCATTATCACCCAGTTACAGCTTTATGATTTGGACATAGTGTTAGGCAATTAAGTGAAAGCCTTAATACTTATTACAAAGTGTTAATACCATGTAGGATGCAGACTTAAGCATTATTTAAAGGACTAGTGGAATGGACAGCAGAGACTGTCTTTCAGAACAGAATCGGTCTTCATTGTTCTGTCAGAAATGAGTGCATCATTGTGGTTGTATTCTTCTTATACTATGATTTCCTTTTATTCCTCAATTTTTAAAATAGATACATAGTATTTGTAAGGGACAGTACACAGTGGTTTCTAAGTAAAAACAACAACAACAACAACAAAGGTGCATATTACTGAATTGGCACCAGAGTATTTTTCTAGAACCTGCAGCTGTTTTTTTCTTGGTAATAAAAGCAATCTTGTTCGGATCAGCATTGTATTAAAGTATGTTAGGAGCCAGGCACAGTGGCACAGGCCTGTAATTCCAGTACTTTGCAAGGCTGTGACAGGAAATCATCCTTGGCGGTTTAGTGACTTAGTGAGATCTTGTTTCAAAATATAAAAAAGGGCTGGGAATGTAGCCTCTCTTGGTTTAATCTCTAGTACTGGTGGGGAAACAAAAAAGCACACATTCAGCTGGGCTTGGAGGTGTACACCTGTAATCCTAGCTAGTTGGGATTCTGAGGCAGGAGGATTGAAAATTTCACTCCAGTCCAGCTACATAGTGAGAACCTTTCTCAAAACAAAAAAAACAGGACTTCCCAAAAAGGCTGGGAATGTAGCTCAGTGGTATAGACCCTGGGGTTGATCCCTAGGTTTTTTTTTTAAAAAAAAGTACGGTGGAGTACAGGGATTACCTCCGTATTTTGTGCAGGCTAAATGTCCTTTGCATTTGCAGTCTTCTGTAACCCTGTAAGTGTTACAGATGGAATTGAATGCCTTAGCTGGGCGCTGGATGGACATGTTGGAGGAGGAGGTTGTTGGGTATCCAGTCACCTCTTTCCTCAGTTCCAGAGCAATGGTGGTGGGAGAGTTCCTTTAAACCACCCCATCTGTGGATGTCAGTTTAAAAGTGGATAGCGAGATACTCATCCAGAATTACGGGGAGGCTTTGGGAGTACACTGAGATCATCATGTGGATGTTTAAGTTAAGACCCAACTCAAAGTAGTCTGATGAACTGTAAGAATTATGGAGAAAATTAGGAAAACTGACACTGTCGCTGTTTTCTGATTAGTAAGAACAATGATTTTCTTTGAAAAGACTCAGTTTTAATGCTTAGTGTTTTAATAATAACTATGCATATTTTTTTTTACCTTGCATATTTAAAATTCTGCCAAGTTATTTAAAAATGCTTTACTAAGCTTTTAAAAAGTTAAAACTCTTAGTTGGAAAGAATGATTCGAATTTGAGATTTGAAGCTCAATTCTGGTTAATTGAATTTCTAGTACAAGAAATTAACAAGAAATGCATTTTTATTTTGATGGTAATGGTGAAAAATGTTGAATAAATTGTACGTTTGAGTGCACAATTTAAATGAATTTCTTTGCTTGGAATTTACAGTGCTGGCAGGGGCAAGAGGGAAGCATGTGGTGGAGAAGGTGTGACCACCACCTACAATACTGTCTGTGTTGTGAGTGAAGCTGTGGAATCGGGGACTGACTGGGCAGAAAGTTTACTTTGGGAAGCCAGGCAGGTATTGCAGATGGTAGGCTCAGGAGAAAGGAAGGTAAAGAAAGCGACTATGGGAGAGGCTTTCCCAATAATAGCTTACTTTCTTGGGTTTTGTCTTTAGGAAGGGTATTGAAAAAGGTATAGGAACATAAGTAGTTACGGATTTTATTAAAATTTTGGTTTATAGAAGTTGTTAGAGAATGATTTGTTTCTCAAAAGTAATTTTAAGATAACTAAGCAATGTTTTAATATTAAAAAGTTTGCTTACAAATTCTTACAACAAATGTAGAAAAAGAAGTTATTGTATAAATGTTCGGATTTTATAGATTTTTTAAAAGTTCATGTAATACACAAACTTTACATGAATTCTGAAGTAAGTTCATGGATTGGTTAAGTTAAAAAATGTTGTGTGCTCTCTAGGATATTTGAAAGGCTACATATTCAAACTATTGTCTGAGATGTCTTTTCTGATGCTTAGAAGGACTGTGCTGGCTTTCAGAAGTTGTTATCCCGTCTTTTTTGGGGCTTGTTTTAAATATTTAACTGAAAAGATGTGGTATTTATGTAATTGGTTCTGCTTCTAGAAGAAATAATGGTTGTCCTGAACTTTACACTCTGTGTCTGCCCATTATCCTTGCCTTGTGGGCATTTTGAGAATTTTAAAGCTCATTTGAATGGGCACACTCTCTTTATAAGAATCTGCTTTTAAGCCCCATTTATCTTGCCTTCTTCAGCTTTCCAAAGTTAAACTAAGACTTTGAGAAAGCAGCAGGTCTTCCTCTGGCTGCTCTAATGCTCTGGCTATTTCCTTATTTAAGTGTGTCTTATGCTTCTAGCATCTCACATTAGAAATTCTTCTGAAAGCCTAGTTTGTCCACCTGTGATTTATTTGACACCTGACATTTTTGTTTCTAAGCAAAGCATGTCACTGTTACTGTGCTTTGGCGCTGTGTCACATATTAAGGTGGTTATTTTGAGGGGCACACACCATACATTTTATGACAGGACCCACACTAAAATGTGGAGCAAAGGGATCATGTTTGTTCACACTGAAGAAGGAAACAGTTTTGATTAACGTGAAAGTTCAACTCTGGTGGTAGAACAACTTCTCTGAGATTTCAGAGCCCATCTGCTGATGGAGTTTTGCAGATGCCTACCTGTGTGCTGAGTGCCCCTAATAACCACGGTATGAGAGGGCATTGGGCATGTTAACTTAAAACTCTTTTCTTTTTTAGGTGCACAACTCCCAGGCCTGTTGCAGATCTCCAACTCCTGCTTTGTGTGACCCCCCAGCATGCTCTCTGCCGGTGGCATCACAGCCACCACAGCATCTTTCTGAAGCCGGGAGAGGGCCTGTAGGGGTAAGGAGAATCCCGTTTTTAAAAGCTATCAGTATTTTATATCCCATAGGGTATAAAATAGGACTATTATCTCCCTTCCCAGAGCCCCTTTAAAAATGTGCTGTATTATATGTGTTTTTAAAGGAGTAACAAGTACATGCACAGAGGAAGCAAAATACGGGACTTGCCTTACCCCTCTAGGACAGTTCCAGAAGTTAGTGGGGTTTGGTTGAAGGGTATTTTGGCACCAGCAGAGAGCATGCTGGGCTGCTGCAAGGAGCAGGAGCTGGCAATCAGCAGCGAGTATGGATGTTCGCAACTGAAATGGGGTGAAAGGGGGTAAGTTTGAGTCCATGTGTGGAATGTGCATTTCCCCAGGCTGTTTCGGCCTCAGCCCACAAATCAGAACTGTATAGTCAGTTTGGGGTGCCGTATAGTCAGGGAATGTTTTGTAGAGGCTATTTAGAAACTGGGTGGCTCTGCTGCGATGCTGGATGTAGAATAAAACCATCTAAGATTTGGCTGTGGTGCAGCCTTGGCTCTGTACTGAGGTGATCCCTTGCCTCGGCGACGTTGGGGTCCAGTAAGGGGCAGTGGGATGCAGGGGCAGTGGTGCGCGTCTGTCGGAGTGCAGCCATGTAGTGGTCTTCACAAAGGTCCTTCCTGTGCAGGGTGGTGTCCATTTCCGGAAAGGTGTGTGTACACTTTTCTTCTTTCCCTTTCCTGTGGAAGGACTTACAACGACTTCTTAAAGACAGCTAGTGAAGAGTGATCTAAGCGTGCTGCATGCACCGTCCTGCTCATGGGAGCGAGCTCTTGCACAGCACAGGACAGTGCTGCTCTCTGATGACCTGTTCCATTGCAGTGTGTCTCGTTCCTGTCGTGGCACTGAGAGAGGCAGAGTCTTCCAGATGAGCTGCAGCCCTTGGGAGCAGGGCTGAAGAGCTGGTGGCAGGTAGCATGGAGCAGTCTTCGGGTGCTCACGGCACCCTGCCCCTGTGGTGAGGTCTTGAGCCTGGCCTATCTAGGGCAGTGAGCAGCTGGCTGCAGGCCACCAAGCAAGGGCACAGGTCGTTGAGTCTCAGGAGGTGGGGCTGCAGTATGGGATGGGGAAGCTAAGCTGTCTTGCCAAGCTTCTATCCCTGAAGGCTCACCGGGCAGCAGGATGCAGCATACAGGAAAGCTGTAATTGGGAGACTAAGGCTTTCATCCTGTGTCACACGAAGAGGAGCAAGACAGCAGAGATGGGCTGTTGACGGCAGTAACCAGAACTGGAGCATTGGCTGCAGCAATAATTACTGAGGAATTGAGGAGAACTCTGACCCTAGAAAATGACCCATTAATTCACATTATGGAATCTTTGCAATTCTTTGAGATAATAGTTATGTATACTAGAAGGCAGAACACAGTGTAGTGAATAGAATTCTAATTCTTATCACTGGGACAGTAGTAAAATAGTGATATCCTAAGGGATAAATTAGTAGAGTTCTGACTGCCTCCTAACTCTTCAAGTCAGGTGTGGTGACACTCATCTGTCATCTCAGTGTTTGAAAGGCTGAGGCAGGAGGAACACTTGAAAGTTCCAAGGCCAGCCTGGACTACACAGCAAGATCCCATTAATTTTTTTTTTTTCAAGCGGGCCGGGGAGATGGCTCAGTGGAATAAGTGCTTCCCTGGCAATTACAAGGACCTGAGTTCAATCCCTGGTTCCGCAAAAAAATTTCAGTCTTTATTGCATATTCCTATGTGTATCTAAGCAATGAAATGAATGTATTTTTCAGCCTGGTCATTCCTTGACTTACTCTCTGATTAAGACGGTGTTAATGTTGGACTGTTCCATTTACCTCAATACCAACTAGCACTAGGGTTTTTTTTTTTTTTTTTCAAAGTTTTATTGATAAACAGCAATGAGACAGTTTCAAATCAAATCGGAAGTACAGTTTCAACAAATAATACACTGCATATATTCTTCTTAGTGGTTAATTGCTGTACAAGATGCGGACTTGTGATCCTAAGCACTAGGATTTGCTGAATGGATTTTAAAGTTTTTTCCATTAACAGCAATTTTAGTCACCTTTATATGATAGCATTAGTAATTGCCAGGCATTATGTTTTAGAAACATAGTATTCAAGTCTACTGCTGCTTTTAGCAAATTGCAGATTGGTAGAACATTAATACATTCACGTGTAGGTTGAAGAAGATCCTGTAGTAAGACGCAGAATCTTCTTTTTGTCAAGATGCTGCTACACAGAGCTGACGTATGGATTGTTCTTTAATGATACTTTGCACTGCCAAAGTCATTTATGCTGGACTGAGTCGGATCCAGTTGGCAGAGATCCCCTCCCCCTTGTGGGGTGCTCTCATAAATTCTCCAGGCGCACAGATCTAATAGAGTGTAATGAGAGAGCTGCTGGGAGAAAAAATTGATTACAGGGTTGCAGACAATATCATTAACGTTTCTTGCCATGATGCACCAGATGTCTGCTCTAATAGACTATTTTTGTTAATTTCATTTTTATAGGGTAGCATTGATTGCATCATAATTTAACTTTCTTTGCATATTCAGGTATATGTGATCTATATTTCTACACTAATGGCATAAACGCATGAGATTTAGTTTTATAAATCTTCACTTATTCATTTTTATGTCTCTGCTAGATTGGCCATGTTTTCACCTATGACTGAGAATGTATTAACATGGAAGTGCTGTGTTCCCTATGGGGGTGGAGGGATACGGGGGGGGAGAAGGGAGGCCGAGGAGCCCTTGTCCAGCTCCTCGCCAGCTGCTCAGAGGTGTCCAGCTACAGACAGATGCAGTGGAGACCATGCTGCCATGTGGCCGAGGAGGTGGCTGAGCAGCAGAGGTGCTGTTTAGGGGCCCGACAAGGCTCGTTTCCCCTCCATCATGAATGTGACCTCAAAGCAGGAGTCACTTGGGTTGCACTTGTCTCACTTAGCCATGTCTTTTTGTGCATTTGCAACCTCTGGTGGCTGCTAACACATATGATTAGGACAGTAGTATGACAGTGGCCTCAGCTGTTTGATTTCAGTAATTTTTAAGGAAAAAAACCCTGTTTTTGGTACATTTTCCTTTAAGGAATTATTTTTCTCTTGACATGTTCCTTTGTCAAAATATGAGCCTTTTCTAACCTTCTGATTTGTAAAATGGGTATACAGCTGCCACCCACCTCAAAGTATTGTTGGGAAACTCAAATTGAAATAATACACTAAAATCTCATGAATTGTTAATGATGGGGATGTTTGGTAAGATGTGTCCTTAGTTGATTCTGTCATTGTGGAAATGGTCATAGGAAGGCCTTGCAAAGACCTAGATGGGATGGTCTGCTATACACCTGGGCTATGTGGTATGGATAGTCTGATGTTCCTGGGCTTCGAGCCCTAGCTTGTTACCAGTTCAGTGCTGGAGACAGTTGTAGCACAGTGGTTAGTATGTGTGTATGCAAGCATACCTAAACAGAAAAGGTACTGTAGAAATACTGGCTAATAAGAATTGTGCAGCTCTATTGTAATCTTCATGAGACCATCATTGTATATGTGGCCCAGAGCTACCTGAAAGGTTTGGGAATTGACTTTACTTAGTATATAGCATACACACAGTAAGCATCACCTTTTATAAGAGTCCTGATTTCTACAGATTTTTGCCTTAAGAAGTTAACTGTCAAGAGGTGATATGTATATATGTGCCGCTTTCCCTAGATGAGTCTGACCACTGGTCATCACAAACATATGCTAATAAATTTTTTTTTTTTTTTTTTTTTTTAAGACAGTGTTACTCTGATGTCCATAGTCTTTTTTACTGGTCACTGAATTTAAGAAGAGTCTTGAACTTGGTGCAGTTACTTGCAAAAGATTACATGTATGTCCATTTTCCTGGAAAGAGGATCTGTAACTTTTGACCCTGACTGCTAACCAGTAGATCATTATTTCAAGTAATTTAGGAATTAAGATTAGGTACTCGGGTGCAGAGGCTGTGCAGTGTGTCCTTTAGAATCTCAGTCTTCTCCTGCTAGGCAGAGAAATCAGCAGACGTGGCCTGTTTGCTTTGTGCCCAGTATTCTGCCGTTCTCTGCACACAGTTTAGCCCATCTAATCCCCACAACAGCCAGTGACCCATAGCTCCATTTTGCCGACCAGAAAGCTAGACTCACATTTGCATGCAAGTCTTGCCTTCAGGGAATGGCAGGATTTGGCTTGGCCAGGATCGGTTTGCTGTCCATGTGGCCTGCCTTTATCTTCATTTTTTTTAAAGAGCCTGGGTTAACCTTTGGTTATGGTTAGGTCGCTTGTAAGAGGAGATGGCTTCTGCCACTGAGTTATACTGGCTGGCCTTTACCCTGAGTATGTGGTACTGGTGTTAGGAATTCACTCTCTGACCCTGTTTTTGCTGATGGAATCCAAAGGCTCCTCACAGAGTTGTGTCCCCAGCTTTTTCTTGTTTATTTATTTGTTTGAGGTAAGGGGGAATCAAGCTTGAGCCACATTACCAGCTCTTTTTTCTTTTGAGATAGGATCTCACTAAATTTCCTAGGCTGGGGTGAACTTGTGATCCTCCTGCTCCAGCCTCCCATGGTACTGGGATTACAGGTGTGTGCCATCATGCCCAGCTCTAAGAACCTTTTCAAATTAACTAAGTGATTGATTTTTGTGGAATGGGGCTTGACTACCACTGAGCTAAATCTTACCCTTTTTAAAATTTATTTTGAGTTAATGTCTTGGTCAGTTTCCCAGGCTGGTCTCAAAGGTGAAACGCCTGACCTCCCCACCTGAGTACCTCAGAATCCTTTTTAAATGGCAGCAAATTTTATTTTCCTGTCAGCAGTTGTAGTGGTTTATCTTTAGTGTCCTTTTTTAAAAGTATGACCAACAGCTACATTGAGTTCTCTTTTTACTCATCTTAATAATATCTATATACTTTAGAAATGTAGTAGTTGGTCATGCTTGCTGTTTTGCTTTTGATGTTTGGTTTTAAGTAAAACTTTATATTAGTACTTTAGGCCCC